GGGTATGGTTGGCCTTCTGGGCTGCCAGCGCACATTGCTGGCTCATGTCCACCTTTTCATCCACCAGCATCCCCAAGTCCCTCTGGGCAGGGCTGCTCTCAATGCCTTCTTCCCCCAGCCTGTATTGATACCAGGGGTCTTGCTCAGCCCTCATTTATTTGGTACAGAAGTTTATATGAAACAACCCAACTTTGGGGCAGGATGGAGAGTTACATGTGTGATTCCATTCTGTGACACAGATGAAGACACCTTGAGGAACCTTCTGGCAGGTGATTCTCAGAGGTATAGTTGGTTCATTTGCCTGTGCCATTTTCAGAGCCGTGTTGTAGTATGTTTTCATTTACCTGCACTTAGGGAGGCATTTTCCACAGAGGCACGTGGTTATATCCATAGTCTGCATCATTCAGCCTTTATGGCTGAGAACCTGAGAGATGCCGTGGCAGCATCAATCAGGACTGCAGTGCAAGTGTGAGGCATATGCAGGGTGCCAGGCAAAGGAGCCTAGGAGCAACGAGGCCACATGTAGAAAACCACTGTGATGTGCCAGGCACTGTGGCTTGTGCTACAGCACTGGACTCTGGTCGCAACATCTCTCCTGGGTAGTTCAGTCACATGCAGGGCTGCCCAGGGCAGAGCATCCCACCCACTGGGCAAGGCATGCTTTACATAGAAGGAAAACTGCACAGCAGCATAATTAAACATGTATCATAAGGCATTTGTGTCCAGAAGAAGAAGAGCAGGAAGAAAGCAGCAAGGCCTCATTACCCAAGTTGTCTTCAGCCTGGCATTACCCGATGTCTGAATTCTTTCCTTTACAGCCTGAGTAACATCCAAAGAAGGTCTGTTGCAGGACAAGTGCATCGTCTTGTTTCACGATACACCTTTTGGTACCCTCTGTTGTTACCAGCTGGGTCCATCCATAGAATCATAGAATCATAGGATGTTTTAGGTTGGAAGGGACCCCTAGAGGTCATCTAGTCCAACCCCCCTGCAGGGAGCAGGGACACCGCTAATTAGATCAGGTTGCTCAGAGCCCCAACCAACCTGGCCCTGAATGTTTCCAGGGATGGGGCCTTCACTACCTCTCTGGGCAACACGTTCCAGTGTTTTACCACCCTCATTGTAAAGAATTTCTTCCTTCTATCTAGTCTAAACCTACCCTGGTTTAGTTTAAAACTATTACCCCTTGTCCTGACACAGCTGGCCCTACTAAAAAGATTGTCCCCATCTTTCCTACAGGCCCCCTTTAGGTACTGAAAGGCCGTAATCAGGTCTCCCCAACTTCACTGCAGCCCGTGCTGGCAGGTCTACACATCAGGCTGCAACGTTTGAGTTGGAAAGTCCTGTAGACCTTCTGCTACCTTAAATGCATGGACTCAAAATACCGAAAAACAGAGGCAGGTGACTGAGCTATTTCCTAATTTCTGCTATTTAGGCTGTTTAGCAGCTCAGGTGACTACAAGGTTTAAAGGACTCTGACAAGTCAAATCACAGGGGCTGGAGGAGTACTTTTTTTTTTTTTTAATCCCGAATGGGTACTTATTTAGATGACAATCGTATTTCCAAGAATAGGTCAGCATGCTGGGATGCTTAATAACAATAATTCTCAGCTGTAGGCTTGTGCTGTCAGACTGAGTTGTGACACAGCTTTCCCTGTGGGCCGCTGGGAGCGACGGTAAGGTTTTCAGTCTTCTTCCAAGGCACCAAACAGCAGTTCAGTGGAGAAGGAGGTCCCACACAGACAATTTGCTGTAATTGCAGCGGGATGGACTGGGCATTGGTGGAACTCAGTGCTGCCTAGTTGGCAGCTTTAACAAGATATAAATTTTTTTTTGTCTCTTTCCCCAAGTAAGAAAAACAGTAAAGAAACCGGGTTGCAAATGATAGTTCCTGCCTTAGGACTCCAGAAGAAAGCCTACGGTTCTGTACTTTTTGAAAACTGGGCACGTGACAGCAAAATCATGGGCTGAAGATGTGCCGAAGATATGTCCTGCGTAGCGATATTAAGTACCTGCTTAGAGGTACCAATGTCAGCCTCACGCTACCTCAGCATGATGAAGGATTTGGGCCCACCAAACACCTTCAGCCCTAAAAATCCTCACAGATAAAGCTTTTTAAGTATTGTTTTGAGTTTGAGAGAGTTCTTAAGCTGACTGGAAACTGAAAGCTCATCTCATTTATACTAAAAAAGCACCTTGCAAGTTGGTTGCCATGTTTTCCAAGGGAAGAGCAGTTTGACATGGCTTGACTGCATTTCTTGCGTGATGAAGACAGTTGGCGTAACACAACCAGCTGCTTCGTGGCTTGTTATTCCTCACGTGGTAACATCAGAGCTCGCTCAAATTCTGAATTTATTTCTTTAGGAAATAACAACGTTCAAAAAGGCAATTTTGTCCCAAATGAGAAGGAATGAACAGTATTTCAAAATTTGCCTCTAAACAGTAACTTCCTTTTCAGAAACATTAAAATACTCAATGAAAACACTGTGTTTTGCCATCACAGTATTACCATAGTTTATTAATTCCAGATTAGTTATTCAAAATGAATCATTTAAATCTTACAGAAATAAAATACACCCGCCTCCATTTAATCTCATCTTTTGATTATTTCTCATAGTCTCTCAAGTATCTCAGTCTGTTTTTGTAGAACGGTTTGATTTCCTAGATTCAAAATTTTTTGGTGAAAACCAGCTCCCACATAAAATTTTCAACATAATGCAAGTACTGCTATTTCATCTTATTCAATGAATTATTGAAGAAGGAATATGACCAGCTCGTGAACTCTCAGGCCGCGATGCCATCCGATAAAGCTTTCCAATTACAATTCATTACCCCGTTCTTACGAAGACACCTGCATACCTTCCACGCAATGCATTTCAAGAAGCGGTTTGGTTCCGGGTAACGGCGCCGCGGGACAGCCGCGCACGGCACTTGGCAGTCAGGACTGAAGTCTGCCTGTGTTCCAAGTTAACTGCTCATCTTCTGCTATTACCACAGCCTGGCAATCTCTGACAATGGATGGACAGGACACACGGGTGACAAACTTCTGTCTTAGTATAGGCTGAAAAATTCATCAGGGAAGGCTGTTTTCCCTCTTTGCTGGAGACCTCCAGATGGTGCCCAGAGCTGGGCTGTTTAGCAGAAGGAAATTAAGCCCTTACGTCCTGAGAGGGCTCCGTGACACTAGGGGAGAGACTTCTCGGTTGAGCAGCAGATCTGACAACGTGGAGATTTATCTCCTCGTGCTTAGAGCGGCTTTAGGGGTTACCACCATTTCACACCTCAGTGAGTGCGGCCTCAGTCGAGTCCCTCCCTGCCTGTCTGCATCCTCAGATCCCCGGAGAAGGCGACTGGTAGCAGTTCAATCAACTATAAGACTTCCCTGGTATTGGCATTTATAAACACAGCGTTTCAGGGTAAAAAAAATCCAAACCACTTTTTTTTTGGAAAAATTTATTAAAAGAAAGGAGGTTGCT